CCGAGCCGAGTTAGATTCCTCGACATGTTCGACATCGCGCGTGGCCCGTTAAAGTCAACGTACGACCGATTCTACATGGACAACGAATTAGCTCGATTACCATTCAGCCTGCCGCTTACTGTATCCGCCGGCCACCCGGTGCACCAAGAACCTTCCGCGCGTACGAATCGAAGGCTAAATACGGTCGGCCATTGACTGTCGGCCGAGCGCGCCCATGAATGCAGGTGCACCGCGTAACAGAAATTACGAGCGTGCACCGACCTCCGAGAGACTCTTTTCGTTTCGACCGAATCTTCTTTCGATACTCGAGGAATCTCGAGCTATCGGGGAAACACGTACGCTCGTTGGAAAGCTAGTCGATTTTGCCCCGATTCGTAAGGTTCGAGGCGTATCGGACGGAATCTGGCGTTCTTCGAGAACGGTACGCGACACGCGTGCACGAGATGATCGCGGCCAGCCTCGAGAACCTTGGCTGCGCTTTCGCGGAACTCGAGCAGCATTTCAATCGACCTTGGTGATTCGCGCGATTTCTCGATACGCTTTCGATGGACGGCGGAACAATCGTCGGGAAACGCTGTCGAACGAGACGGGAAAGGGCATTGCGAGAGCGAGTGCGTCGATTCATCGCTTTCGGATCGGAATTCCGAACAGGAGGACCTTCGCGTCCGTTAAAACTCCACGCCTTCTCGGCTTTTCGACGAGTAGGTATTTACGTCGAATTCGGGTTTCACTTTCTCCGACTCGTTCGAGTTCTAGGTAACATCGATCGACGCTTTTATCGAGAACGCGATTGCCGATCGGTTTCGGCGCTATCGCGCTTCGTCGCGAGACGTAACCGACGCGAAGGTACGACGCGCGTTCCGTTTCTATTTCGGATTCGCTTTGAAGAACTTTACTTTCTCTGGAGACGGGCGTGTTCGTTGCATCGGTAAAACGTGATCAAGATCGTTATCTGGGATTCGCGAGCAGCGAACGCTCGACGTAAGATCGTGGTTATCGAACGGTAGGTTCCGATATCGAAGTTCGTTAACGGGACGGAGGCGTATCCGTTGGTCGGGGAGAATGCAGGGTATCGAAGCGAAATCTCAAAGTTGCAAAACATCCTCTCGACTTAAGGTCGAACGCGACCAGCGGCCCGTTCAATGTTAAGGACAACCGAGAACCGGAATCTAAGATACGCGTTAATATCGACGATGACTTTCGCTCTCGAAAACGACCGAGTCTCTTCGAAAGTTTAGCGCTCGCGATGGAACCGCGATACAGAAACACCGCCAGACTCTTTCGATCGATTCCCGATCGCGTTTAACCGCGAACGCGTATTCGATCCCTACTCGCGCGGTTCGTCGCGCGAGTTTCAAAATAAAACGCGTCGCTCGGCGACGATAGTTTTCGATTTCGTCGAGTACGCTCGATGACGAAATGCCTCGAGGCGCCTCGAGGAATTTCGTTCGTGGAAAGTGACTCCTGTTGTCGTCGTCGTCACCTCTCGCCGTTCGATCGGTTAACCGGTTCGAATACCTTTGTTCCTTTATCTCCGAACGGTCTTGACGCGCGGTTAAATCATCCTCGCACACCGTCTTACGCGGCGAGCCGTCGAGCGATTCTTTCCGATCGCGACCATCCGTGAAAGCGATCGCGTGTAATTTTCTACGATAAGTATCGTTGGTTACGCGAACACCGACGTAAACGTCGAGGAAGGATCTCGATCGGTTCGGTATTCGAAACACTCGGGATAGCTCGAGGCGAGGGAAGACTGCACTCGTATTCCGGTTTCGCGAAACCGGACGTCAACTTGACCTATATCGAGCATCTCGAGGGGATGTTGGAACGTCCTGTGGCCCAACGCAACGCGAGCATTCGCGCGCGGAGGGCGAGAAAGTTATTAACCTCTCGTTACTCGGTTTTTACTCGTTTTTTCTGCCGAGCTACTTTTAAACGTCGGCTGTACGCGATCTTCGGTAACGCGCGAACACGGACGGATACGATATCAGGGAAAGCGAATAAGGATCCGTGCCCGGGAGAGAAAGTCCTTTCCTCTTCCTCCTCATCGGCCGATGCTTCGTTTTATTTTCGACCGTCTTTTTCTTCTATCGCTCGTTACTCGAGCCGCCTCTATTCGCGATAGAATTTCGGGGACATAAGCGATCGTCCTCGATCTCGCGGAATAACGGCGTCGTTCAGCCGGTGGCGGGTCGTGGCTGGGAGAAGAAGGTTCGAATAGATGGATAGACCGTTATTACCGTTGCATTTGCCGCTTACCTCGGCGACATTATCGAAAGGTCAACGAAGGACTGGTCGGTCCACGGACTGGCGTCGCGCGTCGCGAGCGTGTTCGCGGCGAGGCGCGCTTTTAAAAGTCGTTGCACGTTACGCGCCAGGAACGCTTCGTGGGTCACGTAGACTAACGTATCGACATATATATATATTTAGTCCCGTAATTGCCGCTCGAAGAATTATTCGCGAGAAAATCGTGCCGTAACCTTTGGCGTAAGATCGGTAGCTCGATTCTCGAACGAAAAAGAGTCTGGTTGGTCGGAGAGAAACGGGAAATTCTGGACGGAATGTCGTCCGCGTCAAGGATGACCGGTGGCGAACGGGACGACCTAGCGTCGTTTCCGACTCCTAATCGCGGTGATAACTTTTCGCGAACAAAGGGAGCTTTTTCGAGTCGGTCGAGAGACGAGTCGCTCTTTCAAAATCCTCTTTCTCGGTATTCGCGGAGTTTCGTAGGAGGAGAAGAAGAGGCACGTCGCGTCCCCCTACGCGCGTTATCAGGCCGATGACGCGACTCGACTCGGATGGTCTTTGCGAGTGAAATGTTCCTCGCAACCGCTTCAAGGCCGACGAGATATTGCCTCTCACTTTCGTGCCTCTCGCGCGCGCCTACCTACTCCTGCCTTTCGCCGTTGCGTCCTCCTTCGCCTCTCTTCTTTCTTCTTTTTTTCTTTTTCCTACTTCTTCACCTTTTACCGACCCGACGCGTCCCGCCCGCGCTCTGCCTAAGTCCCGCGACTCTTTCGGGCAAACGCGACCATAGAACGGAGGTCGTTTCGGGCTAGAAATCGAGGTTGCTTTGTTCCTCGGAGCCGTTCTTCTTCTCCTCGGTCGCTGCATTTTTAAGCGGATAACACGCTCGCACGGAAAAAGAAAGAAAAAAGACACGCGTTTCGGGGAGGGTAGGGTCGCGAGACGCATAAAAGATGAGAACGCGAGAGCGCGGATGGAGCACGCCCATTCGACATTCCAAAGTCGCTCGTTGGAATTTGTACGTCGTTTACCTCCTACAACGTTCTACGTCCGATACGTAAACAAGTCGGAGAAAAGCGATTTTTCGAGATAACGATCGTCGCGGTGATTTTTCGATCGGTCGAGGTTAGCTCGCGACAGCCGAGAACCGAGTCGAAGGCGACGAACCGTTCCGCATACGCGTGAACGGACTCTCTTGTAGCGAGTTTCTTCTTTTTTTTTCATGAATTTTATTGACGCATTAATTTACATTTATACAGTAAGTACGTTGAGTGTTGGATGAATGGCAGCCTTCTTCTATGTACACTTGTCTTAATCGAATGCGCGTTTCGTCCGGTGCGCGCGAACCAAGATTCGCGCAGTTCGTTTCGCGTCTTTATTTTTTGAACGCGTCTCGGTTTTTGATCCGTTCGATAATTAGAAAGTGGAAAAATATTCGCCGTACGCGTATCGAGCGTCTTCGTCCGAGAAGAGTTTGCTTCGACGGGATGGACGACAGGCTTCGTTCGGCCGAATTGGATTTACTAGTTTCGCGTGATCGTCGTTGCACGATCTATCCCCGGCGATAGGGTTTAGGCTTCACTTGGACCTCTTCTCGCTGGGTCTCCTCGACCTCCTCCTGTACGGGTTTGCTGCCTCTGGTCGCTCCGAACCTGCCGCGTCCCGACGACTTCGCTTCGCTGCCACCGTTGCTTTTGTTGCGACTATGCGACGTGCCCCTGTACGAAAAACGAGAAATCGTGACGATACGGTTCCAATGGTTGGAGCAAACGAAATCGATCGATTTTACTTGGATTTGGTCGTGGACGATTCGGTGGCGGTTTGAGCAGCCGTGGACTCTCGATTACCGTTGCCGGGTGCTCCCGCTTGGGCTCTCCTTCTCTTCAGCGCGGCCAACAGATCCTGATTCGACCTGAAACGAAACGTCGTGCTCTCGTTGTCGTTTGCATGGCGAGAAAAACGCGATCGACGACGTTACCTGAAAGGTCTGACACCGCCGCGAACTATCTTGGAGGATTCCGTGGTAGTGGTCGGGGTTTGCTCTTCCTGCTGTTCGGCATTCTCCTCGTACTCTTCGTCTCCCTCTTCCTCGGCTTCTGCCGGTTGCTCGATCGGTTTCGCCGTGGTCGATTGTGCCTGCGAACAACGCGTTTTCGATTCGGTTTCGCGCAAACGCTTAAAGAACTCGACGTCTCGATACTTACCGCCGCTGCCGGTGTTTTCCTCGCGACGTTCGTTCGTCCTCGCGAGGACAGCAGTCCTCCGAGTCGAGGAGAGTTGGATCTGGCCGGAGCCGGGGTGATCGGCGCGGCCGCTTCCTCCTCGTAGTCGTATTCCTCCTCCAGCGACTTAACCGCGGCTATCAGGCAGCCGGCAGCCAGCAATCTGCGAACGTCGACGCTTTCGTGTGTAACAGTTTCGCGTTCGATTCGAGCGATATTACGCGGTGTTCCGCGATCGAAAAAATGGAAGATGACGAGCGACGGTGAAAGGTGGCCGCGCGTGCTATGCTAGGAAACGCTTTCCCGTCAGCGGACCGAATAATCGGTCACGACAGGAAGCGTACGAAGGTCTCTCGCTCTTTTCCTCTACGCGATCGAACTTATCGTTTTCCGATCGAGTCGTTGCTCGCCGGCGCGAGCGGAGCGCAGGGCGGAAGGAAACGGAATTTGCTCGATCGAAGCGTTTGTCCTCGAAAGGAATCGAGCGAGGTTCGCGCGAGTGCAACGCCGGAGTTGCCAGGACATTCGGAGTCGCGCGCGGCGCTGCAACTTTCGCCAGGATCGAAAATAGAATCCGAGGACGAGAAACGTCCTCCCGGAGGGGAGCGGAGGAGAATCGTTACGTAGGGTCGCCGGACGAAACCGGCGTGCAGCTCGCTGCACGTTCGTCGTTGTAGTTTCACGTACACCGACGCGACGGCTGGATTTTGACCCGTGACATTCACGTACGAAACTGACTTTCTCTGCTTGGCTCGTGCAACTCGCGCAACTCGCGCGTTACCTGCCGGGATTGGTCGCGCCGTCACGACGGACTCTCGTACTCGGAATACGTGAAACGGCTCACAAATGTCACGAAAACTAGCCGAAGCCTGCTCGACCCACCTGTCGGTGGCCAGCCGATTTCGATTCCAGTTTTTCTCGGAATAATCGATCGACGCGTCGCTCTCGGTAAATTTCGAAATTTACCTTTCTTCCAGGTTTCACGCGCTCGTCGAAAATATTCTTTCGACAGGAAAATGTCGCGGTTTCGAGGTAAAAAGCTCTCGTCGCGTTTCTGGCTCGATCGAGTCGAATCGAACGGAATAGAAGCGAAGAAACTTCGGTCGGCGGGTTTTCTAATCGATTTCCTGGTCGAGGTGTGGAACGAACGGCCCGTGGCGGAGGTTTGCATAACGCGGCCGTTCGTATCCTGTTAGGCACGTTGCTCGTTTCGAGCGCGTTTCGCGTATCACCCGCGAAACGAATGAAATTTTCGCGATACGATTGTAACCGCGTTTCGAACGCGAAACGCCTTCTTGCGACACGATCTACCGGTCGCGACGGTACCGTTCGATTACGCCTTTCGATCTCGTACCGGGGGCCGGATCTCGCGATCGGCCTTGGTCCGAACGCGGCCGATTTTCGCCTTCGAAACGCGTGCGAGTTCCGCGAACGTCCCGGCGAAAATCGTTTAGGAAAAGGGACGCCGCGAGGGTGAAAGATACTCACGCGAACAGAGCGAGTTTCATGGCTTGCGTCGGATGACCGTGGTCGACGGACGTCGGTCTGGATGAACGACGGACGATAAAGCTGCTTCGTCGGAACGGACCCTCTGCTCGTGCAACGTGCGAGCGTGCAGTCGTGCAAACGTGGAAACGCGCGTCGATCGAGCGTTGACACGGTCGCGAAGCCGCGAAGAATGAATGTCGAACGGCGTAGAAGGAGCCGAAAGCGCGCCACTGCAATCGCGGAGGCTGTGTACTTTGGAGTGCCGAGTCGAGTTTCCCCTTCTCTCTATATATATATATGACTCTCTCGCTCTCGCTCGGCCAGCAACCACCCGTGCCGAACCCATCCACCTATCCTGCACGAGACTCGAACAACGCGACGTATCCTTCGCGATACTCGTTAGCCGTCGACCGTCGGCCGTCGACCGACGACCGTCCCACCTCATCTCTCTCGAGCGTCCGTGCGAAATTTCGCCCACCGAATCCTCCTTTTTCCGCGCGACGATTCGCGCGTTCCGTACTACGCGTTCCGTTATCCGAACGAATTTTTCCTAAGCGACGAGCAGGAACTCGAAACCTCTCGAGCGCGATGAACGACGAAAAAATGAACGATCTAGTCGCGTTGGCGAATTTCGTGTTCGCGATCGTCGACGCGAAGGAGACTGGGCCGATCGAGCCGAGCCGAGAGGCGATCGATTCGATCGTCCCCCGAAACGAACGCGAATCGGTCCGCTTAGGACGTGTTTTATACGTAGTTAGAACGCGCGTAACCGGTGAAAGTAAACTGCTACGCGGACCCGTTGGCGTTGGCTGGCCGCGGCCAACAACACCCTGTCGCGCTCTTATCCCCCGGGTAACGTTGTGCCCGATCGAAATATCGCCAACCGCTAGAAAAAGCTAGATTCGCGATAAGCCGCTCGCGAAATCGCTCGAGTCGAGGAACGCGCTCGACGGTTTCGTTCCTCGCGCACAGGACGATTATCCTTGAAATTCCACGACGACGGACGCGAAGAAAAATTATCCAAGGGGAAACGTTCGTTCCGAGAACGTAAAGGGCATCGTCGACGTTGTCGCTATCCTACGGTTTTATCGAATATCGCGATTTCGTTCGCGATCGTGATTAGACGTTTCGAGAACCGTTCCGTTTATCGATAGAATCAATTCCAAGCAGGTCGAACTTCTCTCGAGTGGTCGCGCTTGGAAAGATATTCAGGATCTTCCGTGTGCAAATGTCAAAAGGTGTTGCCGTCGATACGTGGAACCGCGCTTCGCGTCGCGTCGCCTTGAGCTCTCTCGCTCGTCGCGAAACAAACCGGTTGAATCATCGAAAAAGAATCGCGGTATTTAACAAAGGATTCGAGCGACGAGGCTCGCGTCGGTCAGGCCGGTCGGGTCGAAGCGCGGTTTTCTTCGATCGACGGGAAATCCTTTCTAGAAATCGGTTGCTCTCTCGCGAAACTCGTGCTGTCACCTCTCGGCCACGTTCGACAGTCTTCCGAACGATTTCGCCACCGAACGATTTACCGTCGCTCGAGGATCGATCGAATCGATCGCGGTCTTTAACTTTCTTCTCGCGACGACCGTCCTCATTGAGTTCGACCGAAGGATCTCACCGCGGTGGAACAAGTTTTCCGTGGCAGGAAGAAGCGAAGTTCGGTTTCGATCAGGTCGAAAGGAAGGGAAATGGAGCGGCAAGCGAGCGAAGAATCGTCGAAGCAAAGTTCGCGGTCGGTTTCTGCCGAGCGGTAGCGCCATCCTAGGCGGTAGCCGAAGAGAGAACTAACGGAGTCGAGGAGCTTGTCCGTCACTTGTTGCATCGCCGTCGGGCCGACGTTCGTTCTCTCCGGGCCCGGCGCGCTCGCACCGGTACGCTCTCGTGTTCGTTGCTCGCGTTACGTTTTCTCGTTCGATCGATCGTCTCGATCCGTTCGTCGGCGACAACGCGCGTCCGTACGTGCAACGGGATCTTCGTGGATCCGCCAGTCGACCGTGATCGCGCGGTTCTTTCGATCTTTCGCTCTTATCCTTCAAGATCTCTCTCGGAGCCCGGTGTCGTCGCGGTTCTTTAACTCCGTCGTTCATCATGGTGAGTAAGTTTGTCAAGTTCCGATCGGTGGCGTTCGCGGGTAATTCGAAACGCTTCGACGCGACGTTTCTCGAAGAGATACGTCAAAAACACGTCGGTGCGCTCTCGGTAGGTGTAGGCGCTTTAGAGAGAAGCTACGAGGATGCCGTGGAACGCAGGTTGTTCGTATTCACGAGCTCGCTCTTTCCGAGAAAAAGAATCACGATGGCCGAGCACAATAGGAGCCGATCGCGCGTGCTCGATCGAGTCGAGAGGTTTCCGATCGGCGCGTCGTCGAGACGTCGACGGGTAAGAAAACGTGAGTATCTTTGTCGGACTTTGCGAACAGCCTACGTTTCTACGCGTTTCTTTGTTTCCTGGTCCACCGGCTATCCGTGCTTCGAACGCGATGGACGCTGCGCTACGTCGTTTTTCTCCTCTCCGTCTTTCCCTCTTTCTCTCGTCCTTTCTCTTCGTCGCTCCTTCTCTCTCCCGCCGTCCAAACGTCTCTCTCGTTTAGCCGCGGTTACAGCCGCAGTTGCTCCGTCTTCCTCTCGTTTTCTCGGCCGTAACAGCGTTCTCTCGAAACCAGTTTCCAGCTGTCAGCGTCTAGTTTCTCGTACGCGCGATACACGATTTTTCAGCGAGGTTCGGTAACCTCGAATCGCTTTCGATAATTCCGTCGCGTCGACGCGCACGAAAAACGCCGCGGGAAAGGAAATCTGGCCGATAAGAATCGTGGGACGGGATAAAACCATCGACGGAAAGGAGCCTGCCGAAGACCGAAATAATTTTCTCCCCTAACGAAAGCCGAAGGGCGCGAGGCTGGACCAAAATAGGCGGATGCGTGGCGAGGAGAGGCCTCGCGTCGTTGTATTCATTCATACGAGCGAGAGGAAGAAACGGCGGGACAGGAAGAGACCCGAAAAGGGATCTCGAGCCTCGTAAATCCGACGTTCGTTCTCGTTCCTGTACGCGTCCCGAGGTTCTCGACCGCCACGTTTATTTACCGCTTGTCGAACTTCTCGGAATCGGAGGGAACGAAAAGCGTCGGGCTCGACCATTGCCTCCTTTTCCAGAAAAGCTTGCGACAAAGCGGACGGCTAACGTACCCGCGCGGTATGCGGGGGATTTAAAAGAGCTATTCTCTCGCAGGTATCCAGCGAGAAATATGGTCGAGCGTACCTGCTCGTCTTCGTACGCGGTTTACGATTCTCTTAGCATACTCTAGCGCTACAACTTCGAGAACGAGCTCTCTTTTCCCGTCGATCGACTGTTTCGAGCGTATCCGAAGACGCGCGTATCGCCTGCCGGTAAACGCTCTCGCTGGAAAGTCGTGGGCGTAAAGCGGATCCTTGCATCGCCGTACTTCGGTTCCAGGATCTCGACGACGATAAAGGAATCGCGAGCTTTCTTATCGGCGACAGCGATCGTACGTTTCGCGCTGTCGCGAAATCGGCCACTCGTTGCTCGCCGGAACGAGCGAATTCGAAATCCAGGGCGATCTTCGCTCGGTGAAAAGAGCAACGCGAGTCGAAGAAGATTTCCCACGCGTTCGCGACGATGGAGAACCACTGCGGCGCTGATACGGCTCCGAGCCGAGTGGCACGGCGATGCGTCATAAGTAAATACTCGCGTACCTGTAACTCGTTATCGGCGTTAACGCTTACGATACGTCGCGTCGACTGAAATCGAGAACTCCGTTCGCTGGCGAGCAAATTGTACGAGTCGAGTCTCGTCGCGTTCGCGATTACATACCTCGGATCCATTCTCTCTGTTCGTTATTCCCGACCCGTGTCTTGCTCTTTCTCGCCTTCTATTCCCCCACCTTCTGTTTCACTCGCTCTACGCGCGTAACGCGCGTTACGCGAACGACTCGCGGTCAGTCGGCACAGAGGCATCGTTGACGCCACCGAGACCCTCCTTTATCCCTTTCCTCGTTTTCATCCTCGATCGCTCCTTTCCTCTCTCGCATCGTCCAGTCCCCCCGCGATCGCGATGTTTCGCAGCGCGGATATTCTCTCGAACCGATCCTCTTCGCTCGAGTCTCGTTCCTCGTGAAGTATTGCGGGAGTGTCCAGTGTTCGTTCGCTTTCCGACGCCGGGAGAATCCGATGTCGCGAAAAGGATAGAGGAAGAACGAGTTCGACCTCGCGCACGACGTGTTTGGTAATTAACCTTCGACAGACGCGGCTACTTAGCCCGCCAACGCTCTTTTCCGTCCCATCGTCGACGAGCGACGAGATTACTCACGCTATCGGCGATATCGAGCATCGCGATAACGTCGTTTCGCCCGTCCACGCCTCCGTCGCTAAAGGCTTCGGGATCTTTTTACGCCGGTCTCTTCGATGCACGCTTCGAGAGTGCTCGATCTTTATCGCGGATGCTCCTCTCTGAGCGGTAAACCGATAATCGAACGAGTCGCCTCCTATAGATTTTCTCGTCTCCGTGCGGCTAACGTTTCCGATCGCGGAACCGAAACTCGAATTTTCGCTTCTTTCGCGATCGCATCTCGCGATGATCGCATCGCGGAACGTCCTCGACGACGTTTCTCGTTTACGTAACGCGACAAACGCGAGATTTCGAACGGAGGATTGCTCGAGCGCAGGACGCTGCGAACCGACGGTCGGCAACCGGCAAAGGAGCCGGTTTCTCCTCGCGATAGTATCTAACGACGATAATGGGATAACGAGAGTCGCGATAATTAAGCTGGCAGACCGGTACTCCGTCCGGCTAGTCTCGGTGAATCACCGATGCGTCCCGTCGGACTACGCGAGATCATCCGTTACTCGGCGAACGTTCATTTTCGCCGATTCGCTTCCGTCGGATTTGTCCCGTTGCTTCTTTCTCGATCGGTGAACGCGCGGCGTTACGTCAGGCTCCGATACAAAGCCGGTTTACGTAATCGATGGCGACGGTGCGTATTTTTATAATCGACTGCATCGTAAGCCAATACCGAAGTATTCGTTTCAGCGTGGAATATCGCGTTTCTCCGTTCGCTCCCGTGGTTTTTTCAAACGGTCTCGTTTCGGGCGAGATCGACGAATTCGTGGCGGAACGTACGCGCCTCTCGCCGAGGCGAACGGTAACGGGACAGCGAAAAACGCGCTCGAAGACGAGCGAACCGTTTTCAGTCGGTTCGCGAATCGCGGCGAGGAAACGGTCACGGTCGTTGCTCTCGGCGAA